CCAGTCAGAGTCCAAGCCTTCCCGGATCCGAGCGACTTTATCATACAGGTACTGTACAAAATCCTCGGCCCTCCCCTCCAGGGGGTCCCCGCCTCCCCTCAATTGAAGGAGAGAGCGGGTCACCCTGAAGAGGGCGGCCGGGCGGTTATCTGATGACGCGATGAGGGTGGAGTAGTAATTGGTTCTAACCACCCTCATCACCACTAGGTAGGGCCTAACATATGTTTAACCGTAAGCACCACTGGCCAGGGTCACCCAATACGCCGAACCAGGTCATCTTAGTTCTAGCATTATCTGAGCTTGTCTGGTCAAAGTCTCAGGGGCCGAAAGCAAGCTGCTGGATCTGCAGCGCCACTAGATGGCGCCTGAGGGCCTCAATCATAGAATAGAATAGAATGCAGTAGAGCTGGAAGTTTGACACCGCTGATGTAGAGCGTTGCAATAATTTAAACAGCTTGATTGATTATGATGGCTTATTTCAGTGGTGGCGAACCTATGGCACAGGTGCCAGAGGCGGCACTCAGAGCCCTCTCTGTGGGCACGGGCGCCGTCGCCCCAGTCCTAGGCCTTCAGCTGGGTTTTATAAAACCTTTTCGCTTGAGGCCTCCGCCGCCGTGTGCAAAAAAAAAAAAGGTTCAATCAATTTCAACTTCTCGCGGGGGAAAAAAAGATCTTGCAAAGTTGGAATTGATTGATTGAACTTTTTAGTCCCACCCAGTCTGCTGTTACTACCGCAGCCACGCCCAGCCAATGGGCCACACCCACCCGGCACTCGACGATGCATAAGTGGGTTTTGGGTTGCAGTTTGGGCACTCAGTCTCTAAAAGATTCGCCATCACTGGCTTATTTCATCACTTAAATGTGGTATCCATGTGTATTTTTTCCCCTGTTCTGTTTTTCTCTCTCTCCCAGGACATCCTTTTTGATGCGAATACTCACAGAGTGAAGAAATTTGTTTTGCATACCAATTATCCTGGTCATTATAACTTTAACATGTGAGTAAAGAGCTCTAATGTACGTACTCCATTTTCCATTTCAGTTTGAAAAGTTATGAGCTAAACAGCAGCTTTTATGGCTTTCTCCTAACTGCTAATTCCATCCTTGCAGTTATCACCGTTGTGAATTCAAGATCCCACTCGTTATTAAACGAGGTAAGAAAGAGGAATCTTTGCCAAAAGGTATGTGTGAATAGAAACATCCAATAAGAATGAATTATGGGCTCCTGTGGGTTCTAAGACCCTTTTTAATGTGTTCTAAAAAAGAAAAAAGTTTTAAACAAGCGAAGTTGAGAATAAGCCCAAAGTTACAGGTTGTGAAGCTGACACGCTTTTAGGCTCAAGATGGCCAACAATATGGGTGAATTTACAAAAGATTAAGGAAACAAAACAGACAAAAACTAGGGCTCCCATCCTAATATATCCCCAGCTTCTTGGTGTTTTATTAGGCATTTGCTAGGACGGGTAGGCAACCTTGGCTCTTTTATGACTCGTGGACTTCAACTCCCAGAATTCCTGAGCCAGCATGGCTCAGCTTGGAAACCTCTCTCTTTCCCCTCGGCATGGCTGGCTCAGGAATTCTGGGAGTTGAAGTCCACGAGTCATAAAAGAGCCAAGGTTGCCTACCCCTGCGCTAGGAGGATTGTGCCACTGACATGTAATCTTATAAAATGCTTGTTATTTTTCTCCCCAAAACTAGAAAGCACCGAGTCACAGACGGAAACCTGCACGACTTATAGCAAGGTAAGTCACAAAGAGGAGCTTCTTAGAACAGCCCTGACCTTTACAGGTGTTTTACCTGTTTTTTGTTCAGTTTAACAGGAGGGGAGCTGAAAAAGACCATTTCCCAGGGGCTCTCAGAAAAATCTGGGCTTGATGGGTTCATCCCAGAACACGGCTTACTTTGAGATATTTGCAGTTTTAAGTTTCCAGTAAGGTCCACGAAAGAGCAGGCTTCATTAGCCAGAAACTAGGCCTTGGGTCACCACTGAGAGACGTTTGCAGTTCTTCCAAAATGGCACCTGAATTCTGGGAATGAGACGCATGCCGAACCTTTTTGCATTTGTTTTTGACTAAGGATATTCACAGAGGGCTTCATTCTCTCAATTTCCTTTTTTTCTTGTAGTGGGATAATATTCAAGAGCTTCTTGGACATCCTGTGGAAAAACCCGTAGTTCTTCACAGGTAAAAAAGAGAAGGGGGAAAAAAAAGTTTTCCTTTGGGAAGAAATAGCATACCTGGCTAGCAAGATATGGAGGGGAAAAAATCACAGCTCCAAAAATGATATTGAGGAGCTGAAAAGGGATAGATTCTAGATTATTTAGTACTGCTGCAGAATTCTACTCAGCCTTCATTTGCATCACGCAAAACTCATTGTCAGAATAGAATACAGAATAGAGCTAGAAGGGACCTTGGAGGCCTTCTATCTAGTCCAACCCCTTGCTCAAGCAGGAGACCCTATATCATTTCAGACAGGTGGCTGTCCAGTCTCATCTTAAAAACCTCCAGTGATGGAGCACCCACAACTTCTGGAGGCAGGCTGTTCCACTGGTTAATTGTCCTCCCTGTTAGGAAGTTTCTCCTTAATTCCAGGTTGCTTCTCTCCTTGATTAGTTTCCAGCCATTGTTTCTTGTCTTGCCTTCTGGTGCTTTGGAAAATAAATTGACCCCCCCTTTTCTTTGTGGCAGCCCCTCAAATACTGGAAGACTGCTATCCTGTCACCCCTACTTCTTTTTCACTAGACTGGCCATTCCCAATTCCTGCGGCCATTCTTCAACCCTTGTAACTTTGAACGGTCACTAAATGAATATTTGTCCTCAGTTACCATCTGAATTTTGATCAGGTGACCAGGGGGATACTGCAGTGGCTGTAAGCCTGAAAAACGATCGTAGGTCACTTTTTCCCCAGTGCTGTCGTAACTCTGAATGGTCACTAAATGAATGGTTATAAGTTGAGGACTGCCTGTACTCCCATCTTCACTGTTATTTTATTTGTCGAATAATATGATAGAATTTATTACTTTCTGAATAAGGGGTAGCACAGCAAAGAATGTGAGGCGTCTTCATTTCATAACGTCGGTTCAAAGCCAGCAAAACATACATTGCGGAATTGCGCCCCGTTTTGAAAAATTCAAGATTCCTAAAAGGGCGTGTTGTTTGTTTTTTTAATCCTAGCTGAGATTCGCTTTCATACAACCGGTCAACATACCTGCTTCTCTCTTTCCTACAGGTCGTCCTCCCCCAACAACACAAATCCATTTGGGTCAACCTTTTGTTTCGGATTACAACGGATGATCTTTGAGGTTAGGAAAGCAACCGTCAGCTGGGGTTGGGCTGGGTTGAAATATTGCTGTGCCTTTTTGAAAAAAAAACGGGTTAGGAGCAATTTAGTGCAGGGGAATTCTGGGAGTTGAAGTCCACGAGTCATAAAAGAGCCAAGGTTGACTAACCCTGATTTAGTGGATCAATTTTGCAGCCTTCCCTGCCGTCTTTTCCGTTGAGTTGCTTGTGAGAAGACGGCAGGGAAGCTGCAAATGTCATTCACGTGAAACGCTGGAAGCATTATGAGCTGGTTGTTAAGTACCCAGATTGCGGTTATGTGGCCTCAGGGGTGCTAAGACAGCCAGAACTTCAAGGACTTGTTATAAGGGCCACTTGTATCAAAGCACCATCATAACTTTGAACGGGCAAATGATCATTAAGTGGAGACTGCCCGTAGTTCATCTGGNTCCTTGTGCCTGTCGATTGTGAAATGTGTGGTTTAGGCTACACAGCAGGGGTGAATCTGGAGAAGGGTCAAAAAAACACCCCGTTTGGAGGCCCTAATTGGAGACCAACCATCTTTTCGTACGAATTCAGGACACACGTTAAAAACAGCCAGCCTTGTGGACATCATCTTGAACTAACCCACACACACACACACACACACACAGAGGCACGGATGCACTTTTCCAGCAAATGCCTCTGATTCAGGAGGTTTCACACACACACACGCACACACCAAGCTATAGCTGTAGCCATTATGTCAAGCTACGGCATGTTTATCTATGTTTTGTTGAATAAACCACAATTGCCCAGGTTAACACTCTACACCAAACCCATAAACTTTGATTTTAAAGATACAGGGGCTCCATTCTCCTGGTAACCTAAGTTGGAACCGAATCAAATCACCTTATCACTCACCAAGTTACTTGAAGCAGATCCTGGTTTTGTGGAAGAGACGATTAAAGTTTCCACTAAGTGCTTTAATGTAGAGATTACGGCAGAGACCATCAACCTTTTGGGCACCAGGGACCGGTTCCGTGGGGAGAGGTTTTTCCACGGACCGGAAAGTGTGTGGTTTTGTGTGCTGCCTGCATTCCACGGATGGGGCTTGGCTTGTTTGTGCGGCCCGGTTGCTGGCATGCCATGGACTGGTACCGGTCCATGGTCCAGGGCTTGGGGACCACTGGATTACGGTGCTGCTTTAGGAATGTAAAGAAAGAATTTATCCGTGGCGCGTTGGCGATAACTTTTCAATTTGATTCCCACAGCCAAACTTTGCCCACGGCTTAGCCTCTCTGCAAATCCCACACGGGGCAACTGTGAAACGCATGTACATCTACAGCGGAAACAGCCTACAGGATACGAAGTAGGTCCCTTCCACATTTTGGAAAATATGCCCAGATTATTTGTGAACGTTGCTTTTTCGTGAATATAGGTAGTCCTCGATTTACAACAGTTCCTTTAGTGACTGTCCAAAGTTACAAAGGCACTGAAAAATGTGAATTATTGCATTAGTCTTTATTGAAGTTAGTCTTTCACCGAGATGTGTTTCATCTTCTGTTTTGTGCTTAAACTTTTTTTAAAAAAACCTTTGTTCAGTTCAGGAAACTCTTTTAGTTTCCAGGCTGAAAAATCTGCACATTCACAGATTGATTTCTTGGCATGCAAACCATCTCTCAAAATTCTGCCTTTTTTTTCTTCTCCTAAATGAATGGCCTCTGGGGATACAGTGAATATCCAGAATAAAATAATAGGGCTTTTGGCTTTTATTTGTTGGCAAGCTTCAAAATATGGTTTATCAATTCAGCCATTCTTTAGCAGAGGCTTCCCCTTTGTCTTGTGTTGGACTACAGTTCCCATCATCCTCCAGTCAGCTTCTGGAGTTGGACTTGCCCTTCCAGTGTGGTGTCTAATTTGAGTTAGGAAGATTGGGATATGGAACCTTCAGGATCGGTAAAGGAGTGTATCACATTTTAAATTATTGACATTCATTTATGCTTTTAGGGCACCTATGATGCCACTTAGCTGTTTCCTCGGAAACGTGTACGCAGAATACGTTGATGTTTTGCGAGATGCCGCTGGACCCTCAGGTTTACGACTGCGATTACTCACTGCAGGTAGGTCCAGTTCTGCTCACCACAATATAAAAAAGATGCTGAGACCCTAGAAAGAGTGCAGAGAAGAGCAACAAAGATGATTAGGGGACTGGAGGCTAAAGCATATAAGGAACGGTTGCTGGAATTGGGCATGTCTAGTTTAATGAAGAGAAGGACGAAGGGGGACATGATAGCAGCCTTCCAGTATCTCAGGGGCTGCCCCAAAGAAGAGGGAGTCAAGCTATTCTCCAAAGCACCTGAAGGCAGAACGAGAAGCTTATCAAAGAGAGATCCAGCATAGAACTAAGGAGAAATATCTTACCTTTAAGAACAATTAATCAGTGGAATGGTTTTCCTTCAGAAGTTCTGAGTGCTCCATCACTGGATGTTTTCAAGGAGAGACTGCATAGCCATTTGTATGGAGTTGTATAGGGTTTCCTGCTTGAGCAGGGGGCTGGACTAGAAGACCCCCCCAAGCTCCCTTCCAGCCCTATGAGTCTATATTCAATGTTCTAATTCCAGGTTAAAATATTTGTTCTTGGTTTTCCCGTTAAAGACACTCTCGTTCACATAATTTTATTTTCTAAGGCAATTGGGATCCGTGCAGGTGCTTTGGAATTATTCTGCAGTTCTCACATCTTCCTTTCTCTTTTATTTCTCCTGTGTAGGTTGCGGTCCTGGTGTGTTAGCCGATGCCAAAATACGGGTATCTGAGCGTTGTGTGTATTTCGGTGATTCGTGCCAAGATGTTCTGAGCACTTTGGGGTCCCCTCACAAGGTTTTCTACAAATCTGAAGATAAGGTTAGGTGAAATCCACGCAGATCCTTTTTATAGGCAGCCTGCAAAGACCTTCACTCTGGTCTTTCTTGATGTTAGATAAATTACAGGTGATCCTCAACTTACGACCACAATTGAGCCCAAAGTGTGAAAAATGGTCATAAGTCACTTTTTTCAGTGCTTTTTTCGAACTATTCTAACTCAAGGACCACCTGTGTTCTGTTTAGTTTTCTTTAATTTTCCCTGCTTGTATTTATCAGCAAAATATTTTTAATGTCATTTTAATGTATTGAGCGTTGTGGGGGTTTTAATTGTGAACTTACGCCTATACCGAAAGTGGCATATGGGTGGATGTGGTTTCCCACTAAATACAGGGAAGTAGTCCTTGACTTAACAATTATAATTGAGCACAAGATTTCTGTTGCTCAGCCGTCGTTTAAGTGCATTTTGCCCTATTTTACAACCTTTTTGCCACTGTTGTTAAGTGAATCACTGCAGCTGTTAAGTTGTTAACATGGCTGGCCGAGGGATTCTGGGAGTTGAAGTCCACTAGTCGTAAAGTGATCATGGTTGGAGACCCCTGCCGTGCAGGGTTGAATCCGTTCCTGATTTCTCCCGTACAGGTTATGTAATCCATTCAGAGCTTAAGGCTCCCCTTTTCCAATAAGTGCCAGCCACTGCTAAGTTTGAAAATGAAGCTGTTTTTTTTTTCCTTATTTTTTGCAAACAGATGAAAATCCATTCCCCTTCGCCTCACAAGCAAGTTCCTTCAAAGTGCAATGATTTTTTCTTCAACTACTTCACGCTTGGAGTGGTGAGTTAAAGATGGGGTTAGTACGTGCCACTAAACCATGTTTGTTTAACCATAAGCACCACTGGCCAGGGTCACCCAATACGCCGAACCAGGTCACCTTAGTTCTAGCATTATCTGAGCTTGTCTGGTCAAAGTCTCAGGGCCCGAAAGGAAGCTGCTGGATCTGCAGTGCCCACTAGATGGCGCCTGAGGGCCTCAATCATAGAATAGAATAGAATGCAGTAGAGCTGGAAGTTTGACACCGCTGATGTAGAGCGTTGCAATAATTTAAACAGCTTGATTGATTATGATGGCTTATTTCAGTGGTGGCGAACCTATGGCACAGGTGCCAGAGGCGGCACTCAGAGCCCTCTCTGTGGGCACGCGCGCCGTCGCCCCAGTCCTAGGCCTTCAGCTGGGTTTTATAAAACCTTTTCGCTTGAGGCCTCCGCCGCCGTGTGCAAAAAAAAAAAAGGTTCAATCAATTTCAACTTCTCGCGGGGAAAAAAAAGATCTTGCAAAGTTGGAATTGATTGAACTTTTTAGTCCCACCCAATCTGCCGTTACCACCGCAGCCACTCCCAGCCAATGGGCCATGCCCACCCGGCACTCGACAATGCATAAGTGGGTTTTGGGTTGCAGTTTGGGCACTCGGTCTCTAAAAGATTCGCCATCACTGGCTTATTTCATCACTTAAATGTGGTATCCATATGTATTTTTTCCCTTGTTCTGTTTTTCTCTCTCTCCCAGGACATCCTTTTTGATGCGAATACTCACAGAGTGAAGAAATTTGTTTTGCATACCAATTATCCTGGTCATTATAACTTTAACATGTGAGTAAAGAGCTCTAATGCACGTACTCCATTTTCCATTTCAGTTTGAAAAGTTATGAGCTGGAACAGCAGCTCTCAACCTTTATGGCTTTCTCCTAACTGCTAATTCCATTCTTGCAGTTATCACCGTTGTGAATTCAAGATCCCACTCGTTATTAAACGAGGTAAGAAAGAGGAATCTTTGCCAAAAGGTATGTGTGAATAGAAACATCCAATAAGAATGAATTATGGGCTCCTGTGGGTTCTAGGACCTTTTTTAATGTGTTCTTAAAAAAAAAAAAGTTTTAAACAAGCGAAGTTGAGAATAAGCCCAAAGGTACGGGTTGTGAAGCTGACACGCTTTTAGGCTTAAGATGGCCAACAATATGGGTGAATTTACAAAAGATTAAGGAAACAAAACAGAAAGACAAAAACTAGTGCTCCCGTCCTAATATATTCCCAGATTATTGGTGTTTTATTAGGCATTCGTTAGGACAGGGGTAGGCAACCTCGGCTCTTTTATGACTCGTGGACTTCAACTCCCAGAATTCCTGAGCCAGCATGGCTCAGCTTGGAAACCTCTCTCTTTCCCCTCAGCATGGCTGGCTCAGGAATTCTGGGAGTTGAAGTCCACGAGTCATAAAAGGGTCAAGTTTGAAGACCCCTACCCTAGGCCTAGGCTGCTTTATGACTCGTGGACTTCAACTCCCAGAATTCCTGAACCAGCATGGCTCAGCTTGGAAACCTCTCTCTTTCCCCTCGGCATGGCTGGCTCAGGAATTCTGGGAGTTGAAGTCCACGAGTCATAAAAGAGCCAAGGTTGCCTACCCCTGCGCTAGGAGGATTGTGCCACTGACATGTAATCTTATAAAATGCTTGTTATTTTTCTCCCCAAAACTAGAAAGCACCGAGTCACAGACGGAAACCTGCACGACTTATAGCAAGGTAAATCACAAAGAGGAGCTTCTTAGAACGGCCCTGACCTTTACAGGTGTTTTACCTGTTTTTTGTTCAGTTTGACAGGAGGGGAGCTGAAAAAGACCATTTCCCAGGGACTCTCAGAAAAATCTGGGCTTGATGGGTTCATCCCAGAACACGGCTTACTTTGAGATATTTGCAGTTTTAAGTTTCCAGTAAGGTCCACGAAAGAGCAGGCTTCATTAGCCAGAAACTAGGCCTTGGGTCACCACTGAGAGACGTTTGCAGTTCTTCCAAAATGGCACCTGAATTCTGGGAATGAGACGCATGCCGAACCTTTTTGCATTTGTTTTTGACTAAGGATATTCACAGAGGGCTTCATTCTCTCAATTTCCTTTTTTTCTTGTAGTGGGATAATATTCAAGAGCTTCTTGGACATCCTGTGGAAAAACCCGTAGTTCTTCACAGGTAAAAAAGAGAAGGGGAAAAAAAAAGTTTTCCTTTGGGAAGAAATAGCATACCTGGCTAGCAAGATATGGAGGGGGAAAAATCACAGCTCCAAAAATGATATTGAGGAGCTGAAAGGGGATAGATTCTAGATTATTTAGTACTGCTGCAGAATTCTACTCAGCCTTCATTTGCATCACGCAAAACTCATTGTCAGAATAGAATACAGAATAGAGCTAGAAGGGACCTTGGAGGCCTTCTATCTAGTCCAACCCCTTGCTCAAGCAGGAGACCCTATATCATTTCAGACAGGTGGCTGTCCAGTCTCATCTTAAAAACCTCCAGTGATGGAGCACCCACAACTTCTGGAGGCAGGCTGTTCCACTGGTTAATTGTCCTCCCTGTTAGGAAGTTCCTCCTTAATTCCAGGTTGCTTCTCTCCTTGATTAGTTTCCAGCCATTGTTTCTTGTCTTGCCTTCTGGTGCTTTGGAAAATAAATTGACCCCCCCTTTTCTTTGTGGCAGCCCCTCAAATACTGGAAGACTGCTACCTGTCACCCCTACTTCTTTTTCACTAGACTGGCCATTCCCAATTCCTGCGGCCATTCTTCAACCCTTGTAACTTTGAACGGTCACTAAATGAATATTTGTCCTCAGTTACCATCTGAATTTTGATCAGGTGACCAGGGGGATACTGCAGTGGCTGTAAGCCTGAAAAACGATCGTAGGTCACTTTTTCCCAGTGCTGTCGTAACTCTGAATGGTCACTAAATGAATGGTTATAAGTTGAGGACTGCCTGTACTCCCATCTTCACTGTTATTTTATTTGTCGAATAATATGATAGAATTTATTACTTGCTGAATAAGGGGTAGCACAGCAAAGAATGTGAGGCGTCTTCATTTCATAACGTCGGTTCAAAGCCAGCAAAACATACATTGCGGAATTGCGCCCCGTTTTGAAAAATTCAAGATTCCTAAAAGGGCGTGTTGTTTGTTTTTTTAATCCTAGCTGAGGTTCGCTTTCATACAACCGGTCAACATACCTGCTTCTCTCTTTCCTACAGGTCGTCCTCCCCCAACAACACAAATCCATTTGGGTCAACCTTTTGTTTCGGATTACAACGGATGATCTTTGAGGTTAGGAAAGCAACCGTCAGCTGGGGTTGGGCTGGGTTGAAATATTGCTGTGCCTTTTTGAAAAAAAAACGGGTTAGGAGCAATTTAGTGCAGGGGAATTCTGGGAGTTGAAGTCCACGAGTCATAAAAGAGCCAAGGTTGACTACCCCTGATTTAGTGGATCAATTTTGCAGCCTTCCCTGCCGTCTTTTCCGTTGAGTTGCTTGTGAGAAGACGGCAGGGAAGTACGTTTACAGTAAGTGCACTTTGCGACCTTCGTAATACTCGACCAACAATTCATGGGTCTAACGCCAATACACCGGAGTCCCCACGATTCTGTCGGTCTTGAAGTTCCTGAACAATATTCCCGGTGAACATAGTTTCGTGGTAGTATTGAAACTTGCCCGTTTACTAGTAATTCACCTCTGACGGGCATCAAGTAGACCGCATGCTTCCTGTCTGGACTACCTCGCAGGGCTGACGTCCCTTTCCATGGGATTGGCTGAGCCAGCCCTTCCCTGGGGATTCTGGCCTGGCCTTCATCCGATGCCTTCTCTTGCTCCCGATCCCCTTGGCTGCCATTTTGAAGTTGTTGGCCATCTTTTATTCGCAGGTGATGCAAAATAACCACATTGCGTCCGTCACCCTTTACGGCCCGGCCCGGCCCGCCATCCAGACCAAGACCCTGGACCTTCCCCAGTGAGCAATACCCATTGAACATAATGCTACACAATTAGTTCAGCGTGCCTTGAGTTGCTGCCGCTTATCATATGGAAAAGCACGAAACGGTGGAGAGCATGTGTGGGTGTGCGTGTTTATAGGTGTGGCACAGAGAGAGAGAGAGAGAGTGTGTGTGTGTGTGTGTACAAGAAAGCTTGGCCCGCGCTCTCTGTGGATGGCAGAGACCGGAAATCCTCTGGAGCTGAACCTTGCAGGACTTGGAGCCAGTGGCAGAGGCACATAACACACACACACACACACACACACAACTAGGCAGCACTACCATTAATCCTCTCTTCTCGCTTGGCCTCGGAAGATGCGGCATAAATGCAGAGTTGGATGGTGGAAGAGCTTCCGCAAGAACTCCACAACTTAGAAGCACAAGTTTCTCAGCCTTGGGCATCTGGAAGCAGGTTTCTTTATATATAGATAGATAGATATATGTATATGTATTTTTCCCCCCTTTCTTTCCCATCTGTGTTTGCGTTCCACGTATTCAGAGTCGCGTTCCTGTGTTTTATTTTGCTTCTGGGGAGGGGGGGGGGAAGGAATAAGACAAGAATATGGGTGGATACAGACTCACACAGAGCTCCTGTATAGGTGTGTGTGTGTATATATATATATATTAAAAAAAGTACATGGGTATTTCGGTAGCTTGGGATGTCACACCAGGCTCGGCTCGCAGGAAGAGACAAGCCCATAATTTCAGTCATTGGATGTTGGAAACGAGGCACAAAGCAACCTAAAGACTTGGTGGTCATATATATGTGTGTATATATTTGCACTGCATACACTTTAATTACTTGATCAGATCTTTACCAAGTGGTGGGCGTGAGTGGAGGCTGGGATAAGTGTTTGCCACACCTAAAACAGTGGAAGAGAATCCGATGCAATTTTTTTCTGCACTAATGCTTACTTGACGCAATGAAGCAATTTTGTCTCCTGCCACGTTGGGTGAACTAAACCCCACTTTCCGGGGTTGGAGAGGAGAAACAAAACTCGAGTTAGATGATTCCTACGAATTATGCTTTTAGGAAGAGTTCGGATATAATTTTTTTTTCCTTCTGTATGCAAAACAGATAAATAATATGCATTCTCCGAAGAGGGATGCGGCTACCTTAACTGTCCTCAATGTGACATGGATCTGATTGGAAAGTCTGATTTTCTGCTCCTTGTCTCGTAAACAAGTTTAGCGGGGAAATTAGCGCTGTTCATACCAGATTCCTTTTTCTCTCTCACATATATCCTGCTGAGATGAAATGGAAAACATGTCGCCTTAAATGCACAGGAATTTTCCCGAGGACTTTTTGAGGAGCACCAATCCAGGAGGAGAAATTTCTGGGTTGTCTTAACTTGTAGCACTGCAGAATGAGGACTGCCTCTGCTTTTTTTTTTTAATTTAATGCCAAAATTTTAGCCAAAGAGATCCTTAATCTAGTTTCAACATTTCTACGTGTATAGATAGACATAGATAGGAAAAGAGATCAGTGTTGGGCAGGTCCACATCCTCCATCTGTGGCAGGGAAAAAATAATAATTGAGTGACGTCTAGTTAAAGTTATTTAACACTTGTTATTTCAAGAAGATTTTAAGGGAACGCATGTGATTCTTTTGCTGCTTTTTGTCTAAAAAAAAGTAAATAATAAATGGTCTTGCTTTTCTTTCGATCGCAACCCTTTTTACAACAGCCAAGAGAATTAAAAAAAAAAAACCGCACAGAGAGAGGTTTATAATTTTATCTCATTTTTTTAATATTTTGGTGTAGCAACTTGTGATATAAATTATAGATGATTTTTGTGAGTTTTAAAACTGTGTGTAAATACAGATTTTTGTAAATACAAAAAGAAAAAAAAAACATTTTGTAATTTTAATTCTGTGTACAGCGAAAGCGTGTATAAATTTATCCACAAATGAGGAATAGGGAATTTCAGAGTGTTAAAAAAAGTTATCCATCCTGGACCTGTAGCAGGATAAATGTTGTCTGGGTTTGCTGTAAATTTGTGAGTGTGTGTGTGAGTGTGTGTGTTTGTGTCCCTCCTTTTTGTCATTCAGTCCTCTACACACTGTTGGACTAATAAATCAATCAATCAAGGAAGCCCCATTGGGCTAACAGGAAAAAATGGTTTAGGGTTTACCTTTATTCTTAAATGTTTCTCCAACTCTTGTTTTTCCTTGGACAGTTGCTTGCTGAGAAATTTCCTTTTCTTTTATCTCATGAATTTCTGTTTTCATAATTCCCCTGTAAATTCTCTGAAATGCGTTAACATCTAGCATGTACATTCAAAGGACAAAATAAACAAGACCCAGTTGCTGTGTTTAGTTACGGTGGCTGAGTATATGTACTTTGCAATCAATGAGTCGGTCTTTGATTTATCTTCCCGTCTAGAACCTGCAGAGGTGATGAATCCTAGATTGTTGTTGTTGTTAATTGCGAAGTCATGTCCGACCCATCGCGACCCCATGGACCACGTTCCTCCAGGCCTTCCTGTCCTCTACCATCTTCTGGAGTCCATTGAAGCTCAGGCCTCCTGCTTCAGGGACCCCATCCAGCCACCTCATTCTCTGTCGTCCCCTTCTTCTCTTGCCCTCCATCTTTCCCAGCATTAGGCTCCTCTTCAGTTAGTCCTTCCTTCTCATTAGGTGGCCAAAGTACTTGAGTTTCAACTTCAGGATCTGGCCTTCTAAGGAGCAGTCAGGGTTGATCTCCTCTAGGACTGAACCGGTTTGATCGCCTTCCAGTCCAGGGGACTCGCAGGAGTCTTCTCCAGCACCAGAGTTCAAAGGCCTCCATTCTTTGGCACGCAGCCTTTCTTAGAATCCTAGATTAGGGTGAGTAATATTTGCACAGTGCTCAAAGGTAAATTTCTTTAAGGCCAGGATTACTTTAATACATTCTGTAAGCTCGTGTGTTCCCTCTACAGGCAATCCTTGATTTACAAGCATTCGTTTAGGGTCACGTAATCTCCTTTTGAGACCTTCTGACAAGCAAAGTCAATGGGGAAGCCAGATTCATTTAACAACCGTGTTACTAACTCCACAACTGCCGTGATTGAGTTAAAGCTGTGGCAAGAAAGTTCATAAAACGGGACAAAACTCAACTTGACAAACGTCTCCCTTAGCAACAGAAACATTGGGCTTAATTGTGGACATACGTCGAGGACTGCCTGTACAGCAACAGCAGGCCCATTGGACATAAAACTAGCCAGTGTGTTGGGTAAAAAAAATGACCAAACAAGCGCAGTTTGTGATCATTCTCTTAAGATGGCCGTGCCTTTAAGAGTCACCAGAAGGACTTCTTATTAAGAAAACTACTCGGGGAAGAATCGCACGGGTGAATTCATATTACTAGGTGGTTTCGTGTCTGGCCTTGGCTATAAAAGATGAACTAAGATGGTTGCATTTCAACTGTCTCACCCTATGAAAGCTACACCAGCCCTCAAGATCACCTTCAACAGAACTGAACTGGTCAGTTGAAGACCTAACATCTGCCTTCGTGCAACATGATAAGCTTGATTAGAGTTAATCTTGGTTAACTGGTTTGTGGGTTAGCACATGGTTTCTGCTTGGTTTCTGGTTCAGTGTATTGGGTGGACCCCGAAAAAAGGATAATTCAGCCTCCTTGCATGAGCCCAGCCATGGTGTCCGCCAATCCTCAGGCAGCATAATTTTTGGCAGTGTCTTTAATTTTCTTCTTCCATCGGAAAGCTTTCCTTATCTGCTTGTTTTGGGTGCAAGAGAGGCGTGGGTTGTGGAGGAGATTCCACATTAGCCAGATTTCAGCTATCTTCAGCCCGTGGACTACCATGAGATCTTTGTAGAAACAAGGATCAAAAGTCTGCAGGTTGGGAGCTGCTGAAGGTTTGGGTATTCCAAAAGTCTTGAACCCTTCGTGCAAGACGGGCTTCAGGTTGATCCGTTGCAAGCACATGCCCAAAAAGACGTCGTCAATTGGGAAGAGTTCCACTTGGGTGCAAGCTTGAGCAAGCTTCTTCAAGGTGCTGATGGACAACAAGAACCCACCACCCCCGGCATAGGCTGGGTACATACCTAGCCCGTACATTGTTTCTGGAATATAATACTTGCTTTTTTGGATTCGGATGGGTTGTGCATTGTAGATGATGTCCCCAACAAAGAGGTCCTCGGAAGGATTGCAGCTTGCCAGGAAGTTGACGATGTTTTCCATGTTGACAAAAACATCAGCATCACCTTTGAATATGAACTTGGTCCTGGAACAAAACTCATCAGCCCAGCTGAGGAAATGGATCTCTTTCAAGGTCAAGTTGAAAAAGGTATCCAGAAAGTCCCAGAGTAAAATGTCCCGATACAGCTGGCTCTCTTGCTGGACCAGGGTTTCCCACGTGGGCAGTGCCGTCTTGTTCTTGGGAACTCCTAGGAGAAAAACTCTTTGGACCTGCATCCCGTTGACCAGGCCTTCTCTCCCCCATGTCCTGCGTACAATCTCACGGTGGTCAAACTCCTCAACCAGCGATTTTATGGCAATGAGCAAAAAGGGCCTTTCTGAGCTTCTCGTGCACTTCTTCGGCTGATTAATGAGAAGGTTGAATTTCCTGTTGTCCTTATTCCTTAGGTAAAGTCTAAAATCAAAGGCGGAACGAGTCAGAGGGGCTGGATTGGTGACGGGGTCTTCCTGCGTTTCCAACTTGGCATCTTTCATAGGCGAGATAATTTTAGGCTCCGATGCGTAACTCTGCGCAGTCGGCTCTTTCCGGAAAACAGGAACGCGGGAATCCCTGTGAGCTGCAGTTGAAGTCTTCTTCTGGACTTCTACTTGTTCTTCTCTGTGGGACGTGTGGCCCAGTTGGGAATAGAGCATGGTGAAAAGGGCTACCACCAGACAAAGTGTACAGATGGCATCGCTCTTGAGTTGAACTCTCATCATTTCCAGGAATTTCAAAGAAATATCCGACGTAGTCCTAGGGGAAAACTTTGCTGGCGAGGTCCATCTGCAAATACAGACCACTGTAGGTTAGTACAAGATTTGCAACGTCATTCAGAATCTCGAAAATGTCCTCCACTCGGAACAGGGATATTAACCAGTTCATGGAGGATGTTCCTGCTACCATGTTTTTGTTTTGTTTTTTCAAAACCAGTGTTTTGTTTTTTTAAAAAAGTGGTGTAGCCATATAATAAAATTGGAAGAAGGTAGGGTGTTGTTGGTTTTTTCTCCTGCATAGATTTTAATTCCGGATCCTTTAGGGCTATTCTGTGCCAAATTGTCATTTTTAATGTGACAGAAAAGGGGGAAATAACGACTTGCCAGCTGTTGAATAATTGTGTCAATTTACCAAAATAAATATAATTTAAATTTGATCAAGGTTTTGCTTAGGGCTTTTCGAAACTGGAGACACTTTAGGAAAACAATAAATAAAATTTTATTCTGGCCTTGCTTCTTTTCTTTTTCTTTGTGGTTTCTGGCATACTCAACAGAACTCAGTTTTAAATTTAAATTATCAGTTCAGGAATGCAAGATGCTGAACAATGACTAGGGCAGGGGTAGGCAACCTCGGCTCTTTTATGACTCAGCTGGCTCAGGAATTCTGGGAGTTGAAGTCCTCGAGTCATAAAAGAGCCAAGGTTGCCTACCCCTGGACTAGGGGGCAGCCAAGGATTGCAGATTTATTCTCTCTTTGCTACCCTCTGTTGCTTGGCTAGATTTCTGCAGCCTAACTCTTAAGTGCCCACATCCTTCCTCTTTTCATAAAGTATGTGGTACACTCCTAGGAAAGTGGCAACAGGTAGTTGATCTCAAAATCTAAGTAAGTTTAGACCTGGTTAATATTTGGATGGCAGCCATAGAGCTACAGGGTCAAATGGAAGTCAAAGAACATCCTACAGAAATGCAAATTAATTATCAATGTCAAGAAAACAACATGGATGAATAACGGAAGGGACATCTTGGAGGTTCTAGTCCAACCCCCTGCTCAAGAAAGAGACCCTATATCATTTTCCTTTATTTTTAAAAAATTATTCATCAAACAAAAATGGCAAATTCAAATAAGCAAAATGAAAAAACTAAAATGTGACGGGGACAATAAGCACGTGAGTGCACTTATGCACATATCCCCTTTGGGACTTCTTAAATGTTGGTTGAGGTCCACAGAAGTTAAGTTGGAGTTAAAACTATGAAAGTTAGTACCCATTCAAGGCAACTGACTATGCAGTCTCTTCTTAAAAGCTTCCAAGGATGGAGCACAGACCCCTTCTGAAGACAAGCCATTCCACTGCTTAATTGTTATCACTGTCAGGAAGTTTCTCTTAATTCCAGGTTGCTTCTCTCCTTGATTAGTTTCCATCTATTGTTTCTTGTCCTGCCTTCTGCTTTGGAGAAGTAGGTTGACTCTCTCCTCCTTGTGGCAGCCTCTCAAATACTGGAAGGCTGCTATCATATCACCCTGGTCCTTCTTTTATCTAGACCAGACATACCCAATTCCTTCAACCCTTTTTCAAATGTTTTAGCCTCCAGTCCCCTGATCATCTTTGCTGCTTTTCTCTGCACTCTTTCCAGAGTCTCAACATCTTTTTTACATTGTGATGACCAAAAACTGGATGCCTTTTTCCCAGTGTGATCTTGAATTTGAGATTACCAAAGTCAAGCATGACTTAGTGCCTTGATTTTTAGAGGACATGTAAAAACTTGACTTGCTCATTTCTGTGGTATCTTCTGAGTCCACCCAACAAACTGAGACCCCCCCCCTTTGGACTCAACCACTCTCTTGACCTATACACGCTGTGCTGTTTTACGAAAGAAAACTATTCTGAATATGATCGTATCTCTTTTTCCAGTCCGGGCAGAGAATTTAATGCACGGTACAAGATTCGTTCAGCTGATAGCAAGGCCCAGTAATGTTGAATCCTGGATTTAAGTGAGGATTTCAATGTGGAGCTGGCTTGACCTAAGGTTCAGGATACAAATGACAACTTTGGATGTGAGTCTTGGCTCTCTTTGCGGCCTAAGTCAATAAACGCAGGCCTTGGAACCCATTTTTGTGAGAAAACGCTCCAATGTTTCCATGATTTAACAGATTTTGCTGGCTAGTATCTCAGAGACAATAGAAAAGAGGCCAACCCCTAGTACTGTCAGCAACAACGTCTCTCCCACGGCCAGGACCACCTTTAAAGTATCGGAACAGAGGCCAACAAATAGAAAGAGAAGACATTTCTAACTGGAAATCTTGCTAGGAAAGCAACTCAGGAACAATTTTCTTGATTCATCGTAGATTTGGTTGAATCCTGATGCTAAACTATAACAAAATAGCAGAGTTGGAAGGGACCTTGGAGGTCTTCTAGTCCAACTCCCTAGTCAAGCAGGAGACCCTATACTATTCCAGACAAGTAGCTGTCCAGTCTCTTGTTAAATGGGATGAAGCATCCACAAGTTCTGGAGGTAAATCATTTCACTGATTCAATTGTTCTCATTGTCAGGAAATTTCTCATTTCTAGGTTGTTTCTCTCCTTGATTAGTTTTCATCCATTGTTTCTTGTCCTGCCTTCAGGTGCTTTGGAGAATAATTGGACCCCCTCTTCTCTGTGCCAGCCCCTCAAATACTGGAATACTGCTATCATGTCACCCCTGGTCCTTCTTTTCTCTAGACTAGCTATACCCAATTCCTGCAACTGTTCTTCATCTGTTTTAGTCTCCAGGCCTTTAATCATCTTAGTTACTCTTCTCTGCACTCTTTCCAACCTCTCAATATCTTTTTTTATAATGTGGTGACCAAAACTGGATTGCATTAACTTTTTTGGCTGCTGTTGCACCCTGCTGGCTCATACTTAAGTGACTGTCTACTAAGACTCTAAGATCCCTCTTGTTGCTTTTGAGTCATGTTTCACCTGATCTGTACCTGTACAATTGCTTTTTCCTGCCTAAGTGTAAAACCTTTACTTTTTCCCCCCATCGAATTTCATTTACTTTTTCCCCCCATCGAATTTCATTTTGTTCGATAGGGCCTAGTGTTCAAGTCTGTTGGGATCCATTTGGATCCTGAGCCTATCATCTGGGGTGTTGGCTATTCCTGCCAGCTTGGTGTCATCTGCAAATCTGATGAGTGCTGCAGGGGAAGCCAGATTAGCCCTCGGAATGTTCTCCAACACATTTTGCAATGGGCCCCTTCCCCAAAAGCCTTTTTTTTTCCTTTTTAAAAGGACAAGAATGAAGAAAGGGAGGCTAACGTTTCATGTCACATACTAAAATAATCAAGGAAGGGACAGCTCATCTAGCATATGGCTGAATGGCCCGGCGAGCATCTGATGCAACTTTTAAAGTGATCTGGATCTGGGCTGATTATGCAAAACAGGAAGCCAAGTTCATGCAGAGTTTGAAAAACAATCTGTGCCCCTTCCCCCATTTTCTGGCTGTTTTCAATCAACGTGGGAAGGATGCGTGACACAAAGCTCACTAATGAAGGGAGAAGAGAGCCAGACCGGTTCCGAATGTCTTCCATTGGAATTCTGCCTTGAGTTTCCAAACATAATAGCTTCCAAGACGATACCCACAAATAGCAAAACAAAAACCAAAAAAACCCTGCATAAAAACTAAAGCTGCCACAGGAGCTGAACCACAAAGTTAGGAAAGACCCAATCTGGGTCGGTCACTGGGATCAGAGGCTTTGTCTTCTGAGCTTTCAGGCGGAAGGAATTTCTTTTGTGTACTTTGGGCTGTTCTGTGTGTGGTATTTATATGGTGCCTGTTGTGTGTATCTTTTTAGATGTAGATTGGTGTGTGTGTGGGTGGCTGGCTATTAAGTCGTTGGCTGTTTCCTTGTGCTGCCAAGCCTTTGCCTTCTAGGTACATGACAGGCTGGGAGTAAATCAGCATTCCCGTTGACTGAGGAGGAGCCAGTTTCCCAGTCTTCACTTCCCTGGCTGTTTTTGTGCCTGCTCGTCCAACAATCTTGGTAGCTGCAAAATTGAATGGGTGCCCTTGTTCGTTGCAATGTGAGGCTACCAATGACTTCAGGTTTCCTCGTCTGACCGCTCGCTTGTGTTCTTGCAATCTGGTGGTTAGCTTCCTCCCCATCTGTCCTATATAGTCACAGGGGCAATTCATGCAGGGGATCCGGTAGATTACATTAGAAGTATCTCCCAGCTCCAAGTGATCTTTACAGTGCATAATTTGTCCTCGTATGGTAACCCCTGTCATCCCTCCGTTAGAGCCTGAATCTGCAGAGGAAAATGAGCTGGAATGGGACCCTATGGAGGTCGAGGGAGGGGTGTCTGTGGCTTCAGAGGAATGTGGGGAAGAGCAGGCCGAGGCAGGCCAGGGCCCTTCAGGAGTGGGACAGGAGGAACAGGAGAGGCAGAGTTCAGGCGATGAGCAAGGGCCACCCCCCCTGATCCTAGAGCACGGAGAGTGGAGAGAAGGGGGGAACAACGCAGGGAGGCTTAACTACTCAGAAGGAGAGCATCCTGCCTCTCTCCACAAGGCACACCTGGAGACCAGATTTAAGGAGACGCTATTGGGAGAGGCATTTGTCGGGAAGAAACCCTGATTCCTTGGAGTTTTGTGTGTTGTTGCTGATCTCTTGTTCTGTGTTGTGATTTCTGCTTGGAAACCCTGAAACTCTGACCATTGGACTGGCTGACAAACTTGATTTGGTGTTCAAAGACCTCGGATTGTATTTTGGCTTCTCTTCTGAAACTGCTCAGGCAAGCTTGTGTTTCCACAGACTGGTTAGATTTTGGATATTATGTTTCATCCCTTGTTATCTACGTGGCCTTGAGTAAATTACTCTTCTAATCTGACTGTATGTGAAACAGAGGCAGCTGAAGGTGTGTGTGTCTTACTTTCTTCTGGGGCTTGCCAGAAACGTGGGAGCATTTGGGGGAAATTTGGAGCAATCAGAAGGGCGGTTTGAATTGCCAGCTGACTGCATTTTCTCTGTGCCGTGCCCTGGGTCATCACACCCCTGGGCGGTGTGCGATGCCCACTTGCAGACCCCGGAAGCTGCGTTCTGCTGCTTCCGAAGTGTTTTTGATGTATGACAGGGTGTGCCACGTGGTTCGTCTTTGCACCTTGTTTCTTCCTTTCTCTCCTGACCATGTTGCGCAGACATCTTTTGACTAATGATTGTGGCTACACGCTTTTGAAATTCCAAAGCTGGCTAGCATCAGCCCAAGGGTGACCGAGGCAGCCTTGCAATGGAGGATTGTCCTCTGTGACCAGGGCTCGGTGGCCACCAGTGCAACGGAGACGGTTCCCTCAAGCTGGAGATTCAGGTCAGAGGTCCTTGGCTCTGAGGCTTGAGTCTATTGTTTGTTTCTCCATGTTTAGCCTAACAAAGCAAATTCCTTCTGATGTTTTGCTTGGGAAGGAGCCAGATTCTGCTGACTGTGCATGTTTAAGAGATGCCATTTTGTTTGCTACCTCGGTGGTGGGGAAGAAACGCAGTGCAAAGAATGCCACTTCAGACACAGACTGATTTACTGCCGTTCCCTATTTACCAGCCCCCCCCCAAAAAAGTAAGATAGGTTGGGGGGAAAAAAACACCTTCTAGCCATTTAAGGGCCTGGCTATTTTCTTTTTCAACATTCCTGAAATGCTATGCCAAGCCAATGGTCTCTACAGCTTCTCTGTACATTACGAAAAGAGGGAGGGAGTGTTGTTTAAATTCTGCACCAGACTTTTGACCTTTGAAACATAGGGATCCAACCCAGAAAAAAGTTAAAACGTGCTTATTCTCTTCAAAGAGACCCCCCCCCCAATATCCCCTTATTTCTCGGGGCAAAAGGCTTGGCCCTTCTTCAGGGGCTCCGTGGGCATAAAACTCTCAAGCCAGCTTGTTAAAGACCTGGTGAGTTGCACTCACATCGTAGTTTGTTAGCGCCTTCGGCAAACCCGGAAGGCTGTATTGGTTAATGTTTGGTTCAATTAACGCCCAAACCCAGAAACCTAAGTCAAATACAGATAGTCCTCGACTTACAACAGTTCATTTAGTGAGCGTTCAAAGTCACAACAGCACTGAAAATAGTGACTTACGACTGTTTTTCACAGCTGGGAAGGTTGCAAATGGCAGTCACGTGACCCCAGGATGCTGCGACCATTGTAAATACATGCTGGCTATTTAATTTAATAGTTAAATAGTAGCATTGAATACCCGATGAAGGAATGTGGTAAGTCAAGGATTACCTGAACTTTGAATTAAAATGCAGTCCAAGGGCCTGCCTAACTCTATTCTCCCTGGCAGCAGCTCAACCCAGAGCTGGCTTTCTTGAAAATTTAACAGAATAACAGAGTCGAAAGGGACCACGGAGGTCATCTAGTCCAAGCCCCTGCTCAAGCAGGAGACCTTATAATGTTTCAGACAAGTGGCTGTCCAGTCCCTTCTTAAAAGCCTCCAGTGATGGAGCACCCACAACTTTTGAAGGCGGTTTGTTCCACTGGTTAATTGTTCTCACTCCCAGGAAATTTCTCCTTAGTTCTAGGCTGTCTGTCTGTCTGTCTCTCTCTCTCTGACAAGCTTCCATCCATTACTACTTGTCCTGCCTTCAGGTGTTTTGGAGAATATGTCAGCCCCACTCTTCCCCATCACAAGCCCCTCCAGTATTGGAAGACAGCTGTCACCTCACCCTCGATCATTTGTTTTTCGTTAGTTAATTGTTCTCATTGTAAGGAAATGCCTCCTTAATTCTAGGTCGCTTCTCTCCTTGATTTAATGGGGTTTACATCTGATATCTTTTCACAAATCCAGGGCTATGTCTCATCGCTCTCCTTCAGAGGCCAGAAAACGGGTGTGGGAACAGATAGCGTGGCAGAGAATATTGCTCATAAAAAACCCCCAACTGCTTTTGATCTTTTTTCAGCTAAATTGACGCATGCATGTCTCAATTTCCAGGGTAATTCAGCAAGGCTGAAGTTAAGAGTGAATGACAAAAAAATTCTGCAGTTCTGCTGCCTGGAAGGCAAAGTTCTTCAACTTCTCGTGCAGGGGAGATAGTCTGCTTGTTTTGGGGTGGGCCTTTGGGCAGATGTGTCCTTAAAATTTGGAAGATGCTTGGAAAACAAACCCTTTTCTCTTTACTCCCTGGAGGATCGGCTCAGTTCTCTCCCCTCGCACACACACACACACAAAACACAAGCCAGGGGAAAGGCAATTTTTGGCTGGCCGGCATCTTTACCCCCCTTTGCCGATGGTGGGGAGACGAGGGGGAAGCAGCCCGCCCAGAAGTACCCTCTCCTTTGCAAATGTGTCAGTCAAAGAGTCTGAGCAAATCCTGTCAATCGGTTGCAAAGCCTCAACTCTTACCTCGACAGCGATCACAGCGTCCGCCTCTGCTCAGTAAGGCTCCGTCCCACAGTTGCCAAGTTGGCACATCTGGATCGCGTTAGTTCTGGCATTCCTCTCAACGTATAGCTTGGAGATGATAGCTGAACTGTAGCAAGGGAGCTCCTTTTCCCGTCGTCGGGGGCTCTTCACCAAGGATCTGCTTTCTCTCCAAACAGCATTACACGGGAAACTCGGCTTGCTCTCTTTCAGGCCCTTTCTCCCCACTCCCGTCCAGAGCTTCTTCCCAGGGACGGCTTTTTCTGCGTGTGCGCGGATGAAAGAACATCTCCGCTCTGCCTAAAGCAAGGCAGCTGAGCTGGCCTCCAGTCCTGCTCACGTGACATCCGAGCAGATGTTTCGGGTCAAAAGGCTCGTAGATGTGTGCTTGGTAGCCTGCCCCATACAGATGTTTGCCAGCAGCAGCAGCAAAACGTTTTGGCAGGATCTGCGTGCAGATGGGGATCGTCCGGTACACAGACCCGCTGTGCTAGATCGCCTTGCCGAAGCTGGACAGACTATTCGGCTATTTTTTTCCTTTTTAAAAAAAATATTGTAGATGCTGCTCCTTGCACACAGGGAAATTATTAAGAGCGTGAAAGCAGGGCTTCAGCGGAGAGATTGGACGCAAGCTATAATGGGCCAATTGTTGGTGAAATTGACAAGACTTTGAGGAATTGATCCCTGCCCCTCCTGATTATGGTTCAGTTAAAATCGCTTTTAATGCTGAACAGAGTACTGGTTTCATTATTTTGATTTAAAAACCAACGCTTCCACGCTGAAGGCTAAAAAGGAAACAAATCCCATGATACTCACTAGGTGTATTATGAGAAGGGCTGTAAGGGACAGCAAAATAGTCCAAAGGATGAAAATTAAATTAAAAATTAGTACAGGTCGTCCTTGACTTAGGACAATTGAGCCCAAAATTTCTGCCCCAAAGCGAGACGGTCATGAAGTGAGTTTTGCCCCATTTTACGACCTTTCTCGTCACTAAGTGAATCACTCCAGCTGATAAGTTAGTAACTCGGTTGTTAAGTGAATCTGGCTTCCCCATTGACTTGGCTTGTCCGAAGGTCGGAAAAAGGGGGGAAACCACAAGACCCCAGGATACTGCAACCGTCATGAGTGCATGCCAGTTGCCAAGTGTCAGAATTTTGACCACAGGATCATGGGGATGCTACATGGTCGTAAATGTGAAAAACGACCAGAGATTACTTTTTTCAGTGCCATTGTATCTTTCAACGGTCACTAAATGAACTGTTGTAAGTCGAGAAATGCTTGTAGAAGCTAGGGAATGCTGGCTCAGGAATTCTGGGAGTTGAAGTCCACAAGTCATAAAAGAGCCAAGGATCCCCACCTCTGGTCTACTCTAAGCCAGAGTTTTTCCGCGGTTCAGCTATAAGCAGAATTATAATTTATTTTTTATGCCATGAGGACACATCGCTGTTTTCGTGCTCTTTTCCTCCTTGTATTCTGTCCATGAGTTGATGGGCATATTCAATATATTTTGAATATTAGCACATCTGTATTAAAATCTCTGTTAGGCAACCGGGATATTGATATTGTTGCCTTTTAATCGCTCTGAATTAGAACAATGTTACAGCACCAATGAAAAAAACAGTTAAATATTAGTGAAATACCACTAAAATGAATACGATTCTAGAAGTTAATAAGTCTTTTACCACAAGATTTTAATGGTCTTAGTCAAAACATTTTAGCGAAACAGAAGCAGTAATTCAGAAAGTTTCCTCCAGATTTTTTTTTTTTTAAAAAATAGCGCTATAGTGTTCTATGCTCTTGGGTGTTTGTTTGTTTTTTTTAATGTAGAAAAAAAATGAGATTTTAATCTTTGTCAGATTATAAACGTTAGTATTTGATTTCGCATTACAGTATGATAGTGCTAAAACGTTAAAGGTTACTCCATGTTTTAGCGGCTATTAAAAGACTAAGAGAAGCAAGCAGTTAAGGAGTAGCAACTATAAAGATTAAAGTGAACATGTGCTGAATTTCCCTGCTCAACTTTTTTTTTAAAAAAGTCAATCATACCCATGCAGACCAAGCTTGTTTCGAGACATAAAAATATATATATCAAATTTCTATTTTAAAAAAAATGAATTCAGTTTGAATAAAATATAACGGTTCTATACAAAATACCTGAGACTCACTTGTTTCAAGGAAATATGTTGACAAACTTCAAAAGTCACAGAAACTGTTTAGAACAGTATTTCTCAACCTTGGACTTCAACTCTCAGAATTCTTTAAACCAGTGTTGCTGGCTGGGGAATTCTGGGACTTGAAGTCCAAACGTCTTAAAAGTTGCTGAGAACCACTTAATTAGAAGCATCCTCTTGAGTAACTCAAGAGATTGAAAATGTCAACACAGAAAAATCCGTTAGTGTAAATGTTACCCTGCGATGGCTCAAACTTCGCAACTCCAGTTGTTGTGTTTTATGAATGAGTGATTCCTCAGTTTTCCCTGCCTTAGAAACATCAGCTGGCTTTCAATGTAAACATCTAAGGCAAGGGTGTTCCACTATGTCAACTTTAAGACTTGTGGACTTCAACTCCCAGAATTCCCCAGCCATCTAAGCAAGGCTGAGGAATTCTGGAAGTTGAAGTCCACAAGTCTTAAGGTTGCCAAGGTTGGGGACCCCCAATCTAAGTCCTTCAACGGCAAGCGGACTAAGCTCATATCAATCAATAACTCATAAATCTAGGTATGAATTGGCTCTTCTCAAAATATTTCTGAGAGCATGTAATAATATAACTCAGAGGTCCCCAACCTTTTGGGCACCAGGAACCGGTTCCACAGAGAGAGGTTTTTCCACGGACCAGAGTGTGCGTGGTTTTGTGTGCTGCCTGCATCCCGTGGATGGGGCTTTGCTTGTACTGGTCCATGGACTGGGGGTTTGGGAACCAATGATATACTCATCTATTTAGGAACAGGAAACATCAATTGCTTGGCTGCCTGGTATCTGGGGGATCATAAATTTCCCAGCGTTGACTGAGGTTACTAATCTGTAGTTGATTGAACTTCTGGGCTATTTTTTATTTAACTAATGATCTACTCGGTTACTCAGAAGGCCTCTTGAAGACCAGGAGTACACCAAAGTTAAATCTGCCCTATGATCGTGATAGGGGGAAGGAAGTATCATAGAACCATAGGCTGGAAGGCACTTTGGAGGCCTTTTGGTCAAAGTAGTCCAAGGCAGGAGACCACATATTATCCAGGACAAATGACTGTCCAATCTTTCCTTGGAAACCTCCAATGATGGAGCATCCACAACTCCAGAAAGCAAGCTGTTCCACTGATTAACCGTTCTCACTGTCAGGAAATTCCTCCTTAGTTCCAGGTTGGATCTGCCTCTGATGAGCTTCCACCCATTGCTTCTTGTCCTGCCCATCCTGTCCTGTGCTACGTATCCCTTGACACTGACAGTGTCTGGGAAGATCATCTTTTTCATTTCCAATCAGAAAGTCCGCTTGCAATTTGTCGTTGAAACCATACTTGATCTTCCAGTTTGACTTCAGGATTTTGGACTTGATTCTGGTTGGGAAAAAGTCATAGGGAGGAAGCCATAGTTGATCAGGGACTGAATAAGATGCACAAGAAAGACCGGTGGGAGGATCAATCACAGAGGCGTAAAGCTAGCAGTCTCCAAAAAAATAAAAACAAAAAATGGCTCACTTTTGTCTTCACGACAAGTCACTTTGGTGGAGACCCAAAATTTCTTCGGCTAAGCTGATGAGGCCATTGTCTTCCAAGGCGGCCACCAGATTCTGAACGGTGGCCTTTTTGCCCTCTGAGTCAATGTATCTGCGGAGCATCTGATAGGCTTGTTCGTACAGGCCTTCACGTTCGTATTCAATGGCCAGGTTGTCAATGAAGGGGTCCCGAAGGGCCCGGCACTTGGTCTGCAGGCAGAGGGACCGGCCCACCTGTTTCCACTTCTTTGACACCAGTTTGGCAAATTTCTGATGGTCATCGGCGGTGATTTTTCGGTTGGCTGCAAAAGGGAGTCGGAAAATCAAATTATTTTAACATCCTTGCATGTCTCCTCTTTACAAAGATATTATGATTAGGCTACAGTTCTGTACACTGCCTCTCCCAGCCTGGATCTCCCCCAAAATGTACAGGTAGTCCTCAAGTTATAACCAGTCGCCGTTTGAAGTTACAATGGCAATGAAAAATGACCGTTTTCACACTTATGATTGTTGTCGCATCCTGTAACCGTTCTTCATATGTTCTCACCTCCAGTCCCTTAATCATCTTTGCTGCTCTTCTCTGCACCCGTTCTCCCTGGAATACATTTTTAAAAGCTCCATGGGAGGGAAGGGGGTGCATTCTTGGGGGGGGGGCTTTCAAGGTTGCACAAGGGCTGCATGCAGTTCACAAGCTGAATTTTTGGCAAAACTACTCTAGTCTAGACAAAAGGTCTTGTTCAACACAGGGGGGTCCTCCAACTTGGCCACTTTAAGACTTGTGGACTTCAACTCCCAGAATTCCCCAGCCAGCGAATCGCTGCAGTTATTAAGTTAGTAACGTGGCTGTAAAGTGAGCATGGCTTCCCCATTAACTTTGCTAGTCGGAAGGTTGCGGGGCACTGCCACTGCGGTAAAAACACGCCAGCTGTGGCGCGTGTGAATGCGGTGTGTGTGAATTTTGATCACATGACCACCAGGATGCTGCAATGGTTCCAAGTGTGAAAAAGGATCATGTCACTTTTTTTCAGTGCCTTTGTAACTTTGAACGGCCACTAAGCGAACGGCTTTAAGTTGGGGGGAGTCCCTGTACAGTCCTTGTGGAGTACATACTCAGTACGTCTGCACCCGGTCACGTTTCGGCCTTCCATTCGCTATCTCTGCACAGCGTTTTTGTCTCAAGTCCCTGCCTGAAACACTCACCAAATTGCTGGTTCTGGAAAATGAAGGTGTCCTCTTTAAGCGGAGGATCTGAAATCCCTGGAGGGCTGATAGACGGAGGGGAGGAATTCAAAGTGAGAAGGGGAGGATCTGAAGAGAGCTCCGACTTCAGGGATGGAGGGAGGCTTTTTCGTAAAGAAAAACTCGTGAACGATTCTTCCAGCCCTGCTATTTCTTCATCTCTGGGGTGATGAAGGGGAGGATCTGAAGAGGGCTGCGACTTCAGGGATGGAGGGTGACTTTTTCGTAAAGAAAAACTCATGAACGATTTTTCCAGCTCTGCTATTTCTTCATCTCTGAGGTGATCCGGCTTCAAAAAAAGAAAGACGGGGGATATGTTTCTGTGAATTATTTTGGAAGGGAAGTCGGAGGTCTTCTAGTCCAACCCCTTGCTCAAGCAGAACATATATTATTCTAGACAAATGGCTGTCTAATCTCTTCTTAAAAACCTCCAGTGTTGGAGCACCCACAACTTCTGGAGGCAAGTCGTTCCACTGATTATTGTTCTAACTGTCAGGAAGTTTCTCCTTAGTTCCAGGTTGCTTCTCTCCTTGATTAGTTTCCATCCGCTGTTTCTTGTCCTGCCTTCAGGGGCTTTGGGAACTAGATGGACCCCCTCTTCTTTGTGGCAACCCCTCAAATAGTGGAACACTGCTATCATGTCACCCCAGTCCTTCTTTTCACTAGACTAGACATACCCAATTCCTGCAACTTTTCTTCAAATATTTTAGCCTCCAGCCCCCTGATCATCCTTGCTGCTCTTCTCTGCACTCTTTCCAGAGTCTCAACATCTTTTTTATATAGTGGTGACCAAAGCTGGATGCAATATTCTAAGTGTGGTCTTTCCAGAGCAGGATAAAACTGCTCAGATTTAAAACAAGGAAAGCTAGAACGCTTGGCTGAGAAAGACAAGGGGGGCCCTCGTTCATGTGGACGCTCGGCCTGCGTTTTAGTGGCTGTCTCTCCAAAGTGACAACAAGCCACCCATTTCAGGCTCTGACACTTACCTTCTGCTGAGAGATGTATGCCAGACAACGTTCTTCTTCCTGGATGATGAAATCCAAATCTTTAGCACCAGCCTTCAGCTCCATCTTGATGAGCTTTACGCTGTCTAAGGGCACGCACCTGAGACGCCCCTGGAGAACTTCCTGAAACTCTCCTTGCTGGTAGCTTTGCAGGAACTTTCTGCAGTTCTCTTGCTTGTGGAATTTGAGTTGGATGATCAAATCAGGGTCACTGCAATGGACCTTCAGAATATCCACCCCGCTAAGGCCCCCTATGGATTCTGTGGAGGAAAGAATGGGGGAAAGAGAAGGTGAGTCAGAGGGTTCTTCACTGCTGGCTGCTGCAGCAGAAGATCTAAGCTGGTGTTTTTTCAAACTTGGGAATGTTAAAGTGTGTGGACTTCAACTTCCAGAAGACCAGCTGGGATTTGAAGCCCATACATTTTAAAGTTGCCAGGTTTGAAAAATGCTACTGTGTTTTTTTCCTTCCTGGAGGAAGGAAAAGTTAAAAGGCAAGTAGATGGTGACTCATCTACTCTTTAACTTTATGACTATGGTGACTGGAGAATGGGTTGAATTTATCCACTATAAATTTTTTTGGAACAGGAAACAGAAGCCCCTGGGGTGTAATCTCTTTCTGCAAACGTAAGTAAACATGACTCAGCAGATCCAAGGAAGGAAATAAAATAATAATAATAATAATAACAACAACAATGAAACTGTGCGATTATGGATGAAACATGTAACAGTGATACCTACTGTCATCGGGGAACTATGTCCAAAAACTTTGCAAAATACATCAAGAAACTGCAGCTTCCTGCAATAAGAACTCCAGCAATGTTACAAAAAAACTGTGCTACTCGGAACATCTTATATTTTAAGGAGGTACCTGGTTGACACCTAGGATGCTGGTAGCAACCTGTGTCAACCATCAGCGCCAGCCAATTTGAATGTTCAGTTGACTGAGGTTCATGTCTAATGAATGAAAGATGATGATGATGATGATGATGATGATGATGATGATGATGATTATTATTATTATTTACACAGGGTAGTGGTGGAAAGCATTTTGAACTTGGAAGAAAAAAAAATCTGAGCTGTTTAGCCAACTGGACGACTGATTCCCGCTGATCATAAACACGTGGGGTAGGTGGAGCAAGGCTAATGACGCAACATACCTGCAAATGCCAACCTCAATGCTTTGTATACATGGGGCTTCAAATCTGGGTTTCTGTAGCATGAAGGAAGAAAGTCGGCTATCGAGGTTGCTTGGACAAACAGGTGAGCACTGCCCACCCACTCGTCCATACTGGCCGCCATCTTGGAAATGCCTCCTGAAATGGAACACAAATCAGCCGTTAAAGAGACGCCTTAAAACAAGAGCTCCCCAACCTGCGGGCTGCAGCTGCTCATGGAAATGAAGCTGTCTCACTTAGCGACGGAACTTTTGGGCTGTATTGTGGCCATAGGTCAAAACATCTGGAAAGAACCAGGCTGCCAGCATCTGCACAACACTAGATTAGCCTAATACTGAAATGGGAATAGCCCATGTTTTTTTTCCCCACCTAATTATGTGCTTTACTCAAACACAAATGGCAGAAAACTGTGATTACAGGTAATCCTCGACTTAAAACCATTTGTGTAGTGACCGTTCAAAGTTACAACAGCACTGGATAAAGTGACTTATGACCGTTTTTCACACTTAGGACCACTGCCACATCCACAAGGTCACGTGATTAAAATTCAGCCCCTTGGCAACTGGCTCACATTCATGACGGTTGCAGCATCCCTGGGGGGGTCATGTGATCCCTTTTGCAACCTTCTGACAAGCAAAGTCAACGGGGAAGCCAGATTCACTTAACAAACCGTGAACTTAACAACTGCAGTGATTCACTTAACAACCGTGGCAAGGTCGTAAACTGGGGCCAAACTTTACTTAAGGGCTGTTTTGCTTAGCAAGAGAAATTTGGGGCTCAGTTGTGCCCGTAAGTCGAGGACTAACCTGTACTAGGAGCAGATTTAGGGATGGCTAGAAACCAGATGTATCGGGGTCTCCTGTTTGAGCAGGGGGCTGGACTAGAAGACCTCCAAGGTCCCTTCCAGCTCTATTCTGATCGATTGATTAAGCTCTTATCGGTCATCGGACAGGACCGGATTACCACCCAAAGCAGCAGTTGGGCCAATGACTTTATTCCGGAATAACGACCTCGCCCCGTCGAGGAAAGGCGGAAGGCCCGGCGCCTCTCCCTCCCTCCTTCCCTCGGCCCAGCGCTGCGTCCGCCCTCCTCGCCTTAACGGCGGAACGAAGCAGCGCCGGGCCGACAGCCGAAGCCGACGACGGCGCTGCAAAAGGGCGCGCCTTGGAAGGGAGCCGCGCCACCGCCGCCGCCGCCCTTCCCGGAAAGGCCGAGACGCGGGGCTCGGAGAAGCGCTGCCCTCCCCACGATCTTGCTAGGACCCGGGTCTCTTCCCGCTGCCTCCCCCCCCAAGGGAAAGCCGGCTCCCCCTTTGCCCACCCTGCAGACTAGACCTGCAGCCCCCCTTCCGCCTCCTCCGGAGCCCCAGGCCCGGGGACCCAGGCAGGCGGGCGGGCTAAACCGAAAGTGCGGCCGGACTCCGCCCGAGCAGCGTCCGCCCGACACGTGGGGATGGCGGCTGCGGCTGCGGTGACCCCGATCGCGGCAGCTCCAGAGACCCCAAGGCCTCGTTTCTGCCCGCCCGAGGCGGCGACAGCTGGAAACAGCTGCAGGGAGGGGGGGGGGGATCCGAGGGAAAGCGGCCCGCCCGGGCCAGGCGACGAGGAGGCCCTTCGCCAGGACGGCCCGGCCCGGGCTGGGACGGCGAACCCGGGTTGGGGGCGCCTATGGCGAAAGCGCGCAGAGGGCCGCGGGGCGCGCGAAGCCGGGCAACCCGGACACCCGGAGTCCGGATCTGCCCCTTCGAAGCGCTCGGACTTCAGCGGCTCCAGCCAAGAGCGCTCCGGACCCCGTTCCGACGACTCGCGAAGCCCCCGGGAAGGGATCGGAACCCGCGGGCCGGCCCCCGTGGCCCCCGCTTGGCCGTGCAGCCCGGCGGGAGAGGTCGGGAGGGGGACCCGCCTGTTCCGAGCCGCCGAGCCGCCGCAGACCCGGACGGGGTTGGCGAGAGAGGAGCCCCGCGCCCCGCCGACCCCCTTCCCCGGTGCCTACCCGCCTCCAGGCGCGCGCTGCCCTGGCCGCCGCCTTCCGCCTCTGCGCGTCAGCAGTTCCGGGCGGAGAAGCCCGCCGGGCACGTGCGCGCCTTCCCGGGGGGCTAGGATCGGGCGCCGCTCCCTCGTGGGCTGCGGAGACTTTTCCCGCCGCCAAACCGGCCCATTCACAAAAAAAAGCAAAAAAAAAAAAAAAGAACCCCGAAGAGCTTCGGAAGCGGCGCGCCGGTTACTTTGTGGCGCCGTCCGGGGTTCCCGAAGAGCGGGGCCCGGCGCGAGTGGCCGGAGGAGCTGCCAATCCGACCGGGGGCTCCCTTTCATTGGGCAAGCGGTGGCGGGAGGTGGGTGGGGGGGGCAGAGAGGGAAATCTCCGTAGCCAATCAGAGGGGAGCCAGCGGATTTCTCGATACCGTATTAGGAAGCGGAGGCTTTCCGGGAAGTTTTTGCCTGCGGGAGGATTGGAGGCGTTGCTCCCGGGCTCTGATTTCAGGCACGGTAGGGAGATGGGGTGCTTTGGGAAAGAGAGGGGAGGGGGGGAAATAGAGGAGCCGAGAAGCGTGCCTCTGAGCGTGCCTAGAGGGCCCGGCCCTTGTCACCGCAAACGCCTGGCGCGTTATGTATGACAGCCCAGGGCGCCGTGTCGTCCAGAGGCCAGCCACGTGTGGCGGGGTAGAAACAGGGGTCCTCAACCTTGGCCACTTTAAGACTTGTGGACTTCAACTCCCAGAATTCCTCAGCCAGCTTTGCACACATCTGTAGGGCACCTAAATTGGCAAAAGCTACTCTAAGCGCATCGTCCCAAAGATCGTAGTTGCCACACGGTTGTATGCCAATAAAGTAGAATATCTGCCCAAGATTGAAATGAGCGCGCCTCGAGTTCGGCTGTTTTCTTGCAGACGTTTCATTACCCAACTAGGTAACACCATCAGTGTCAGTGCTAACACTGATGTCACCTATTTTGGGTAATGAAACGTCTGCAAGAGAACTACCAACCTCAGAGAGCACCCAGGACCCCACCGCCCTCCTCTTCCTCCACCCTTCTCCTACTCCCTCCCTACCTCCTACTGCTACTTCCTCACTAACTCCTACTCCTACTCCCTCACTACCTCCTACTCCATTACCTCCTACTTTGCTGGCTGAGGAATTCTGGGAGTTGAAGTCCACAAGTCTTAAAGTGGCCAAGGTTGAGGACCCCTGGGGTAGAATAAGGCGCGGATCTCCCTTCCCTTCCTGCTGACATTCAGGAGGCAGCTGTCAATCCTGACGACCTAGCGGCCTGACTCGTAGCTTGAAACCCCCAATGAGTCCAGCCAGGCCTCTTGTAGCCATCCTGAAGACCTCTGCGCCTTGCGCATCGTTTCCTTCTCGATTCGCGGACTTAGAATCGTAGATTAATCGGGTTGGAAGGGACCTTGGAGGTCTTCTAGTCGAGCCCTCTGCCCCAAGCAGGAGGTTATACACCATGCCGGACAAATGGTTGCCCAACCTCTTCTTGAAACCCACAACTTCAACGGATAGTTAGGACTGCAGGAAAAAAAAAACCAAAAACATCATAACCAGCCTGTTGTCTGCTGCACAGGCCAGAAAGAGGGATGAGAAAATATCTACAGACCCCCCCCCCTTTTTGTTGTTTTTCTCTGAAGACGTTTCGCTCCTCATCCAAGAATAATAATAAAGTTGGAAGGGACCTTGGAGGTCATCTAGTCCAACCCCCTGCTCAGGCAGGAAACCCTATACCATTCCAGACAGAAGCTTCTTCAGCTCTGACCGGATGGTGGGGAAGGGAAGGATTTATATTCTTGTATTTTCAAAGAAAAACAACAAAGTCCAGTTGCCTCCTGAAAAAAAAACCACCTTTGGGATAAAACCCTGTCCTGGTGGACTGAGAATCTCCATGGACATTTAAGTAATCCACTTACATCCTCAAAGCAATAAATCTGAAATCTGAGCTCCACGCTGTTTGAAGGAAGAGTGCGAGAAGGCCTGTTGCTAGTCGGGAAACATACAAGAGAGAATGGATTATTTATTCACAGAAGGAAAATCTGGGAGCTTTTCTGAGCAGTGGGTCCATCCCCTCCCTAAAATGACGTGTTTCGTTTTGAAATGCAGTGCCAGGGGCTCCGTGGCCTGATGACTTAGCAAGTGCAGGGGGGCAGAACAAACACACTTTTTTATGAGCAAGGATAATGAGCCGGAAAAATCAAAGGTCAGTTTTGGGCTGGGCTGAACTACAAATTAAAAGGAAAGCGTGCCTTAAATCAAGGAAGTGACTTCATCCATTCTGTCTTTCCGAAAAGTAAAAGTAGGGGCTGATCTTTTCTCCTCCTTTTTCAGATCTGCGGTGGGAAAGCAGGAAGGGAAGCAGGAATCTCTGCTCCGGAGTGAAAGGATTCTTGGTAGGTGATATGAAAATTCCTCTGCCTGATATTGACTATCTGGTTTGAGAGGAAAATGGGATTTCTTTCCCAAGGTGGCTGGATGTAACACCGCCAGATATAGACTCTTGCTCTTTCTAGGACCCGGGGCTCTTCCCGCTGTCTCCCCCCAAGGGAAAGCCGGGCACCCCCTTTGCCCACAGACTGCAGACTGGATCAGCTGGTTTCTCTCTCTTTCTCTCTCTCCCTTTCTTCTTCTTCTTCTTCTTCTTCTTCTTCTTCTTCTTCTTCTTCTTCTTCTTCTTCTTCTTCTTCTTCTTCTTCTTCTTCTTCTTCTTCTTCTNTCCTCCTCCTCCTCCTCTTCTTCTCCTCCTCCTCCTCCTTCTGCTAATAAATCCCTGCTTTTATTCCTGGATTCTCCCCCAGATGTGCTGGGCATTCAATTCAAGACGCCTGGCAACTGATTCATACTTATGACGGTCGCAGGGTCCCGGGGTCACGTGATCCCCTTTGGCGACTTTCTGACAAGCAAAGTCAACGGGGGAAGCCAGATTCACTTAACAACCGGGTTACTCACTTAGCAACTGCAGGGATTCACTTAACAAGGGCGAAAAGGAAGGTCGTTAAACGGGGCCAAATTCAGTTGGTCTAACGTAGCAACATAAATTCTGGGCTCAATCGTGGTCGTAAGTCAAGGACTGTCTGTAGCTCTTTGAGTCCACTGGAGGAAGGAGCTGGTTTTTAAAAATCTATTTTTTGGTTGGGGTACAGATTTTTTTTTTTAAATAACCTATAGATTTTATTTTATTTTTTTAAATTGCAACCTAAAGCAGCTTTTGGTTTCTTCTTTTTTATATTTGTCCTCTCTCTCTTCGCAAAATGGCGCCACCACATTTTGATGGGGAGATGCCAAAAAAATTAATAATAATAATTGGCTATGGGGGAAGAAAATCGAGGTTTGATATTTAGTGTGTGTGTTTTCTTTCAGCGAAGAAGGAAACTCTTGAGCAGGTCCCCAAAGGATGCCGGAGACAGTAGGAGATGCCTGGAGCTACGTTCCGGAGGAAATTCTCTCCCACATCTTTCGCTACTTGTCTCTGCAAGACAGACATGTGGTTTTCCAGGTCTGCCAGAAGTGGGCTGCAGCGGTTTCTACTACCTGTGTCTGGAGCGATACAGAAGTCAGGTAAGAATGGAGCCTGATGGGTCCTGTAGTTGAACTGGCTGAATAGGCGAAGGAGGACGAAGGGTGTGGTGCAGAAGGACATAATACTCATAAAAGCAGTTTGCACTAGGTTAGGGTGCATGCCCCATTCTATTTTTTTTTTTTTTAAAAGTACTGATTTTTTTAATACAATTCAAAAATACTTATTCAACAAACGTGTTGTCTGAGTTTATCGTTCACTAATACAAATTGAATTCCTGATCCCTTATTCTTTTCTTCAGCCATTGATAAAATAAGTCCCAAGTTTGATAGTATTCTGTTTCTTCTTGTTTTTCTTTCAACCTCAGAGTAAGTCTGTCCATTTCCGCACAATCTAGTATTTTTTTTTTAATTATTTCTATTTCTTCCTCTGGTGGTATTTCTTCATTTTTCCAATATTGTGCGAATATGATTCTTGCCGCTGTTATCACATGCAAAATCAAGTATATATAATTGTTTATGAAGATTGAATGTAATTAAGCTATGTATAAGCTAAAATTTTATTGATAAATGTAGTAATGATGTTCTTATTGAGTGGATATAATTAGAAATGTACTAACCTGAATATGAGATAGTAAATGTTAAGGGAAAAAGAGAAGAAATATTTGATGTTGTAACCTGAGATTTGCACTAAGATTTTGTTATTGAACTATTGATTAACCCAGTCACCATGTTGCTTTTTAAATATTCAAATGGAAAATTAATAAAATATTATATAAAAAAATAAAAATAAAATCAAGTATATATTTTTGTTTGTCAAGCTTTTCTGGCATTATACCTAGTAAAAAAAAGTTCAGGTTTAAAATCTACATGTTTTCCCAACATCTTTTCTAGCCAAGCATGCAGCATTCTAAATGTGCTATGGGTGGCTTAGCTTTGGCTTAGGATATATAATCTAGCTCTTAGGGTGTCCAGCTGTGATTATGGCTTAGTGCATTGTATGAACCTTGCCAGTTGTAACTTACTCAATAAATGATTGTAACTTACTCAATAAATGATTAAGGAGACAATGGATTTCAATGAGGCGTGAAGCTGATCTGCGTAGCCACCAGTTGTAAAGGTTTGTCAAGAGTCTCCATTCAGACCACAGATTTGCACTTGTACACTTGTACAGCACACCTGTACTCCAAACCTACCAGACCAGTTTCTGATGAACTCTGAGACGTGAAGCAACCTGGTATAAAGACGATGATTGATGAGTGTTTGCCAGCTTGTGTGTCTGACGCCTAGTTTGATCAACATAAAGGTTGACGTCAGAATCAGAATAGAATAGAGCTGTAAGGGATCGTCAAGGTCTTCTAGTCCAGCCTCCTGCTCAAGCAGGAGTCTCTATGCCATTTCAGACAAGTGGCTGTCCAGTCTCTTCTTAAAAACTTCCAGTGATGAAGCACCCACAACGTCTGAATGCAAGCTGTTCCACTGGTTAATTGTCAATATCAATACATAGTTCAACAACAATATGTATTTTAATAGAACATGTTCTAAGTAAATTGATTAATTGATGATAGATAGATAGATAGATAGATAGATAGATAGATAGATAGATAGATAGATAGGTAGGTAGGTAGGTAGGTAGGTAGGTAGGTAGGTAGGAGATAGGCAGGCAGGCAGGCAGATGATAAACAGACAGACATGTTTTGAAGATTTCCAACAGAGATGTTTTGAGGATTCCCAAGATAAATAGAAGATAGGCAGACAGATGTTTTGAGGATTCCCAAGAGAGAGAGAGAAAGAGATGGAGTCTGGATCAATGATCAGGATGATGTTTTCATTTCCTGTAATTCCAACACTGTGGTATTTTTTCATTCCCACCCTCCCCATGGTTTTCCAGGTGTGTTGCCGAAGATGAAGCCACACTGCAGCATTTGCGCCAGTTCCTGTGCCACATCAAACGCCTCAAGATGGTGTTTGATCAGTCCAAGGAGGGGACCCGTAAGAAAGTCTCCCAGATCCTGGACCTTCTGGCCAAGCAGAACCACAAGCTGCAGGCCTTGTGCATCGAATGCACGGGGGAGAACCCCTATTTCTACTCTGGCCAAGACATCCTGCAGAGCATCGAGGGGATCTGCCAGAGCCAGAACCAAATTGACCTCCAGCATATTGATTTCCGGGGGATGCCCTTCACTCTGGACGATGGGATCGTCCAGCTGGTGGCCTCCAGTAGCCCAAATCTGCACACCTTGTACCTTAACAACCGCACCTTGGTTTGCAACGTCACCCCTGAGGCCATCATTGAGCTTCTGAAGTCTTGCCCCAAATTGTCCACCCTGGGGGTCTATTACGCCAGCCTTTCCGATGACGTGTTTAAGGAACTGGTGACATCCAAGCGGTCAACTTTCAAGTGCCTGGATATTTTCTGCGAGCGTCTGGATAAATACATTCCCGTGATCTCGGAAGAACTCTGGGCTTTGGTGCGTGTCAAATATCCCCGGCTCTACGTCCAACTGGAATTGGACCCCACGGTCCCACAGTGGAAGATCCCTCGCATCTTGAAGCCCAACATCCCAGTGACGGAGCTGCAGCTGAATACTTACACGTACATAGTGTATCAAATCCGCTTTGCCACCAACAACTACAGCGGCACGTTGGAGAAGCTGGTCCTTCGCACCACCTCTTCGGAGGAACTCAACGAATCGCTCATTGGCTTGGCCCGAAAATGCGGAGGCTTGAAAGAGGTCCACTGTTTCTGCGTGGTCAGCCACGGGGTGGTGGAGGCTTTCCTTTCAAGATGCCCCAAGTTGAAAAGCTACACCCTAAAGACCTCCAAAGAGCCCAGTCCTTGGCAACCCACCACCATCGTGTGATTGTGCTGAAGGGTTTTTACTTTTGCATCATAAGAAGATGGCCTTCAGCAACTCAACCCAGCTTCTTCTTCTACTAGGTTCGCCCGTGATTTATTTATTACATGGTCCAACCTTAATCCCAGCTTGTTTGTTCAAAACAAAACCAGCGACCAGAAATTAAGAATGGACGTACTGTTCCTTGAGAGCTCTAAGCTCTAGTATGAGTGTGTGCGTGTATGTATGTGGGTGTCAAAGTCGCAACGTCACGTGACGTGTTGCAACATATCGTGACTTTTTTTCCATTGCTGGCAATGGGGTGGGCACGGTTTCGCCATGACGCATCCGGTCCGCGGGCCGGCAGTTTGACACCCCTGGCTTAGGGAATTATGCAAGCCCAACCCATTTGGATCAGAAACTCTTGGCAATGCAAACTATGGTTTAGGCCAGGGGCAATACATGAAGTCTGACTTTTTGTCTGGTGAAATGCAATCATGGTTAGAAGCCTATTTTAGCTGATGTCCACAGGATAGGGCAAATCCTTGGTGACCAACAACCATCCTGTGTGATTGTAGCTTAAGGGCTTTACCTTCACAAGAAGATGGACATCAATAACTCAGTTCAGTTCCTTCTACAAGGTTCTCCCATGGTTGATCACTTGGTCCAAGGTGTGATCACAACTGGTTTCTCCAAAATGAAACCAATAATCAGAAGTCAAGAATGGAGGTGGTGTTCCTTGAGAGCTCTGAGCTCGTGTGTGTGTGTGTGTGTGTGTGTGTGTGTGTGTGTGTGTGTGTGTGTGTGTTTTAAGGGTTAATTAGGGCATTCTGTAAATTCAGCCCATTTGGATCAGGAAACCTTGGAAATACAATCCATGGTTTAATGCAATGTAGGAACTCAGACTTTTTGTCTGGCAGGAACGCAAGCATGGACAGAAGGCCATTTTAGTTGAGGTGAGAACATGATGTCTACAGCAGCGGCCCCCAGACTTTGCGGCTTGGTCCGGCTTGGGGGGGGGGAAGAGGGGAACTGGGCCGCGCAAGCGTGCATGTGCACACGCACTTGCGCAGGTGGCAGACCGGGGTGTCAGTGTAGACAGTACACAAGTACAGTGCTTTTTAACTAAATTCATAATAAACACACACCAGGATAGAAATAAATTCCACAAATGCAATTCAAGCCAACTTAAAACCCATTACTACCGAACAATGTGAGCACATAATTTTAGTTTATTTATATAAACATTTATGTTCATGTCTTCCTCAGCAAGTACACCATATCTTTGTGTTCCTTGGCACTGGACCTAGATTAATAAGAAGAGTTTGAGTTGCTGAATTGTTTATTTTCTTTACTGTTGTTGAATTATAGTACAATGCATATTATATTTTATTATCCTACTTCACAATAAAAGCCCCAGCATTTTATCATTTTACTGACCACACTCATCTGCTCTGCACCGCACCATTTTAATACACTACAGTGTGGTTTATTTGGGTTGCATATCTAGCCAATTGTGATTTATTCAACACGATAAAAAAACATGGCAACGGGTTATAACCCACAATGGCTTGATTCCCATGTCAAGCTAAGGCAAAGAAAAACAGGTTACAATGATTTAGTTCAGAGTGTGAATTTGTGAACCTTGTGATTAGGATCAATTTGATTTAGTGTAACATGTGAACCAGCCAATGTGGCTGTCCATGTGAATTTGGGAAAGTGATGTAAAGGTTCACACATGTAGGACATATCCTTGTTAAGGAAGGCAGTTTTAAACAATAAATAATAAGATAACCTTAGTCAGTTTTACTGTGAGCACACTGGCCCACATTAAAAATGAAATTCTGTTGCCGGTTCTTGAAAGTATATTTCTACTCATACACACAGATAACACAAATATACACATGCTATATACATACATGTATATGTATGTATGTATTTCGTTGGGTAATGAAATGTCTGCAAGGAAACAACCAAGCTCGGAGCTATTGTAATTCCTATGCAAATATATACATATATTAATCACTGTCCATTTTGGACACATAGCGAAAAGGGAAAACTTGAGAGTTCACAAGATTGATGCTATAATAAGAGCAATTCTGGCTGGGCATTATGGAATTGAGAAACCTGGAAAGTACCTGGTTGGGAAAATCGGTGTACGAGACTAATAAAATTATTCTTCTAAGCAGATGTACTTGAGAAAAAAATAAAAACTAAAGTCCTAATTCACTTTTTCAACTTTCCACTGCCAATATGCATCTCTCTTTAAGCCATAATCCAACCACCATCCAACAGTGGTTGCTGCATGAGCCTTCTCCTACAGAGAATAGGCATCCACTAAACAAGTTAAGCCTCAACCTATTTAACCATGGCTTATTAAGCCACCTTGAGCTAGCATAACCCAAAACACTAAGCTGTAAAACAATGGGCGACAAGCCACACCGGCTGGGCTCCTGCAAGACACCAAGCCAACCTGTGGCTACATGGCTTAAGGTGCCGCGCAAACCATGGTTTGTTCTTTTTGTGAAGCTAGGAATAGAATGGCCAGATTGAAAGTTGGGGGGGGGGGAAAGAGTCCTTATTGCCAGCCAGGGCTTCCCCTTCTCCAGCACCGAAAAGGGCCAACCGCCTCCGGGAAGGAAGGAAGGAGTTAAAAGGGCCAGGTGAGGCGCGTCCCCGGCTCCGAGCATGCGCACTCCGCCTACCTGCCGCCGTCTAAGATGGGCAGCGGAGGCGCTAATTGCGCGCAGGTGCAGCTCGGGAGCCACGTGGAGCTGAGGCAGAAAAAGAAGGCGCGATGCGTGGCGCGCCGGGCTGGTGGTCGGCGGGAAGGTGGGTGTTTGTGAGCCTGCGGGGGGTTTTTTTTTTTCCCCGAGTGGGGTGCTGAACCGCTGAGACTTCGCGGAACCGCTGGCTCAGCCCCCGCGCTCGCAGTAGTTGCAAACCGTGGTTTAACTTTCCCGGGGTTAAACTTAGTTTCTTGGCTTTGCTCAATGCGTGCAACTCTTCTTGAGGGGGTCTCTGAGCTTGGTAGTTTCCTTGTGTTAGAAGTAAGTCTTCATCCTGGTTCATCCAAGCCGGGAATAAATAAGCAAACATGGCAACTGCTTTGGGAAGAAGGTTACAGTTTATTGCAGAAGACAGATGGTCTTGCAAGAAGCAGCAGAGGAGAGGAAAAAGAATGAGCACATGGGCAGAGGTCTTTTTATACCCCCCTCCCAGCCCTGCTTGGGATAGTTTC